TTTAAATTAATCTATTAACCATTCTAACATACACTAAGTCTTATGAATATATTATATGTTCTAATTATTTTTTACATACTATAAGCAATTATAGTACGACAATGGATCATAAGAACCTTGAGTATTTCATATCAATACATATTTTAAATTATCGCCAGGCTCGTTGGAACATGTCTTTGTCAAGATTTGAATTCAATATCACTTATTGGCTAAAATAATAATAAAGTTTATTCAATGCCTTTTCTAGATATTCTTATCTTGCACCAAAAGAAAGAAATGTAGCTTTTAATCAATAAAAGATAATTTTATTGAAGCCAAAATAATTTCATCTTCAAGTAGTCAAATCAACATTGATTGTTATTTCAACTTTTTTCAAGCAAATTCAATCAAATATGTCCTTTGATTCTCTTGTTCATGATATCAAGAATACTTCTTCTAAGTCTTGTAATACTTTCAAATTTGAGTTCAAAAACAACCTACTTTATTTTGAAAGGTGCCTATATGTTCCAGAAAAAGAAGCATATTTATGTGTTATTTAAGCACGTCATGACTTTCTAGCAAGAAGACATTTTGGACTCAATAAGACTTTGAGGCTAATATCCAAAGATTTTTAATAGCTACAAATGTGGAAGGCTATAAAAGACTTTGTTTAATTATCTGATATTTATTTAAGATTAAAAACTCCTTGTCATGGACCTTATGGACTTCTTCAGCCATTATCTATTTCAAAACAAACATGATCTTCTATTTCTATGGATTTTATTATGGATTATCTAATATCGAGTTAGTGTAATTTTATATTTCTAATAGTAGATTTTTTTATCAAAATGGCACATTTTTTACCATGTACAAAATCTATCAAATGTGAAGAAATTACTAAGTTTTTTTTTGACAATATCTATTGGTATCATAGATTGCCAAAAGATATTATATTAGATAGGAGGACTTAATTTGTATCAAGTTTTTAGAGAATCTTTTTAAGATTTTAAAGATAGAAATAAATCTTTCTTTGGCCTTTCATCCTCAAACTAATGGACAAATAAAGTGTGTAAATAAAGTTTTGGAATAATACTTAAGATGTACCATTAATTATCAATAAGACAATTGAAGAACCTGATTGCCATTGGCAAAGTTTGCTTATAATAATACAATGCATTCTTCTATACAAAAAATATTTTTTTTTATCAATTATAATTACCATCTATGACTTAATACTTTTGACTTTTTAAAAGTTGATAATCTTGTGATGAAAGATTTTGTAAATCGTTTATTAGAGCTACATGTTATAATGAAGGTGCAATTAAAAGAAGCTCAAAAATGACAAAAGATCAACTCGAATGTCTATTAAAAGGAACAACCACAATTCAATGTCGATGACAAGGTATAGTTACTTCATTATAATATCAAGACTATTGGTTCTTAAGACAAGTTAAACTACTGCAAGCTTTGACCTTTTTTTATTTGTAGACAAATCAATCTAGTTGCTTATTGATTATATCTACTAGACTCAATAAAAATCCATCTTGTATACCATATGTCTCTTCTTGAATCATACAAGACTATAAATATACCAAGAAGAAAATAAGTCCCACCTCTTCTTATAGAAGTAGATAATAATAAAGAATTTAAAATAGAAGAGTTTTAGAGTCAATGCAGTGCCAAAATAAGTTGGAATAACTTGTCTATTGGTGCAAATATGCTATTAGTGAACGCACATAGGAGCCAGCAAAAAAAAACTTGCAAATATAAGAAAGACAATGGAGGCTTTTCATTAACAACATTCATCAAAATCAAGATGAAGGATAGCAAACCTTTCCTATAAAAAAAATACAATTCACGAAAGATTGTATTCTACTTTCTATTCTTGTTTGTAGTTTTTGTAATTGTGGTATTAAGTAACAATCAATGGATTTAAATCAAGAGCCATTATTTTTTGACTTATCAAATGAGACATTGGAACAAAGCTTCTAGAAATGAAGAGTGCAATGGTATAAATGCAAGAATCTTTGAGAGAATTAATGCTTGCAATGCATCAACTTAATTTATCGCTATGAGGAAGAATAAAAATGGCAGGGAGCAAAGATATAAAGATGATTGGAGCTACTTTAACATCTGCACCAAATCATGTTCCTTCTCATGTGGTAGAATATTCTTTTAATACAAGAGAATCAAGGATTACAATACCTGAGAAGTTTAATGGCACCACATCCAAATTTGAGGATTTGTTAATTAAATATAATTTATGATTGAACTTCAACTCCAAAGCTATCCAACTCGAAGATCGCAAGTTAGATTCATTGATATAATACTTTTAGGTTCAGCATTATCATGGTTTTTATCTTTTTTAAAAAAACGATTCAAAATTCATAGACATATAAAAGATTTAATATTCGATAATCTGGAAGCTTTTTTAGTGGAGTTTTGATATTGGCGTTCCATAGAACCTCCAAAAACGTGTTGACTTTGTATAATATGTATCTTAATTTGTAAAAAAAATTATTTAAATAGATACTTCATAGTTAGCTTGTTGACCAAGTTTTTAGCCTATCAATCAATTATAAATACATGTAAAGTCAAAACATCATTTAAAAAGCTTCTAGGAAGCTTCTCTAAAGGTATTATAAAATTAATCTACTTTTATTTATTTCTAATTATTCATATTATTGAGGTAATATTTACAGTAGATATATATCCATCACATTTGGAAGATGAATTATACATGCCTAAAATTCATGGACATATAGTAGTCGTCTATGAAAAAATTAAACGGATTTTTGTGGCAAAGGTATGCAGTGATCTGCAATTATCTTATACTCAACAGCGTTGTAGAAGTAATCTTTACCATTGTGACATGTTTACAAAGACTAAGTACCCTTTTGAATCAACAAAAAGCCTAGCTCTAAGGCTTGATTTATTTATTAGTAGATTTGAGCAAAGTATAAGGTCTACGTAGTACAAAGACTTTGGCTATGGCTTACGAAGCTCCAAATCTAGTCATCTATGGATCTTGGTGTGTGGCTCTCATGAGTGTGAAGGCTTTTATTCAAAATTAAAGCATCTTCATGATGAATCAAGGTCGAGGCCATGGTTTATAATATAGCAACCTTATTTATTATACTCGTTGATGGCATTTCATTTATTATTACCAAATATGATCACAACAATGATGTTAGCAATAAAGACATTCCAAACAGATTGGTACATGATTTGTATGCACTACACACATCTTTGTTGTGCATTTCCATCCATCAATACAAACTACAATTAGAATTGGCTAGGTAGGACTCTCAATCGATCAAAAATACTAAAAATGACCAACAAGCCATATTCCATGCCTATCACAAGGAAATAACCTTCAAGGATGCTATTGACAAGTGCTTTGATTGCAAACAGAATTTCATGTCAAATGGGCCAATTACAATAGCTTATTTCCACAACTTCAAATTTTTTGTAGTAAGTTGGCTTCTATTTTTTTTAATACAAGCACTATCAAATCTGACTTTTCTATGATTGGATAAGAGAAGGAGAAGTATTGGCAATGCCTCACAAACTTCTTACTCGAGAGTATCTTGCACTCTAAACAATTCAACAAAGTTTGTCAAATTTGATAAGGATGGATGTTTTTGGACAATTTTATAAATGAATTTCATCCATTCTTAACTTACCTAAAATAAAACTTGGTTGCAACCAGAAAACAAGCTAAATTAGATAGTGTAGGAAAAGCCCTAGTTTAAAGAGGCTTGCTCATCACACATCCAATCTACAAAAAAATGTTTATTCTAACCAGTATAAAGTTTGAATGCTTAGAAAGACAAAGAGAAAAAGAATAAGAAAGCATCTAATACTGTTTGTTTTATAACACTGCACAATCAGAATAAAAGCTCAAGCTGTAAGATATAAAGATGTAAAAATTTCAACTTAAACCGTTTATTTTTACAAATTATTGGCCATGGACTAGTTTTTCAAATTTTTCCGCCAAGAGACTCAAGCTGATAGTTGCTGATGCGACACTTCTCCCGAGTCATTCGCAACAACCATGGGTTTAGGGTTTGTACTTGTGGTCTTTGAATTTTGCCGTTTATTTCTAAGGAGGCTTGGAAACTGAGGTTTGTCGAATGTATTACAAACTGGTAAGTGCATCTTGTTGGTAAGTGGTAATTTCAGTGGAGTATTTCATTAAGTGTATGTGACATGAGCAAGCACCTGTTGGAAAGCTGGTCGTGTCTGTCAGCGACGAGCATTCGCTTGTATATCAGGGTGATATATCCTCGTTGCTGACTCGATGATGGAGATGCAACGAAATCCATGACTCAACGACTAAATCACTGTCGCCATCTCCTGTGAATTTTCGTCGCACAATGCTATGTGAATCATCTGAAAGAGCCGCACATGATGAGTATCTCCGCACTTGAAATTGCGAGGTTGTAGTTTCGGGTAGGTTGTGATTTTTTGTTTGAGTATATTGGGAAGCCAACACGCCGAGACATAGCACCTGTTGTGGTGTCGAAGCAAATGTCAGCCCTCAATCTTGTATTCTACTTCTATGAATTGTTTCTTGCGTTGTAAATTTTAAGGTATGTGATAGTATGATTCTTGCGGGGACCATCATTCGTTTGATGCAGGCAAGTGTCTGACAGCTTTCGTCGACACGCATATCCTCAGCTGACGTTATGGTTTTAGTGGTTTTCTAGAAAACTCTGAAGTTCATCCCCGGAGAAAGACTCAAATATTCATCTTTCTGTCTCCGATCTCTTGAAGTTGGGCCTATGCGATGACTAAGTGGGTCACCCTTATCCACAAAGTTTGCGTGGAATCAGCACAGTGTTGGAACTTTTGCTGGAGTTCTAAGAAGTTTGTGCGACCTTTCCACTATAAGTGGATGTGCTAACAAGTTTTGTAGATTCACAAACTTAATTTCAAAAGGTGACTTTAACATACATTGATACGACGTCAGCTCACAGTATAAAACTATCATATCCCAATTCAACGCTGCTAAGACGTGACAATGGGTTCTGCTGTTAAGTATATTCTCATTGCGATGACAAATTCAATTGCGTGCCATCACTCCCGCAAGCGGATTAGAGGTCACACGTATTCCATGCAATTTTTTCTCTAAATTATGAACATTTTCCATCTTCTGTTCTTTGCTACTATAAAAGAGTTCAGACAGACATGTGTAGAAAATGTACAAATACTGGGTACTCTACGGCTGACTACATTTTACTGCCAAGATGTCAAACATGGAGACTTTTCCGAGAGTATCTCATGTTCAGTTTCGTCGACCTTTTCACCATTCTCTTTAAGATACAGTTGGAACTATCAGCTCAGTAAAGAATTATACCATGTGACCTTGGAGGCTTTCCGAGGGCCAAATGTTTCACTTCTCAAGAACCTAAAGTTGCGCAAGGATGTTGTGTTTGAACGTATCCACCGAAGAAGTGAAATGACGGCGTCTCAGGAGCTTCAGTCATTTATTAACTACCGTACCATCGCAGTTATTGTTAAGGATAGGATTTCTAGGGCACAACGCAACAATTGCATCATCGTCATAACAAGCTGCAATTGGATATCAATGTAGTTGTAAAATACTCTTTATTCTGTCGAAGCGTTCATGACTTCGCAAAAACAACCACGAGTGCAAATTTCCCGTACTCTTCGAAAGGAAAATTAAGGATGTGGAGTTACGCTCATCGTGATAACAGAGTTTCTTCGCAACCAGCTCCATCAAGCTTCAATACCGAGCCACAGAAACCAGACCTTCATCACACAAGAGTCGAGAGCCTGGGGTAGAAGGGGAAGCTCTTGCCGTGGCTCACGGCTGCAACCAGTGACGGGGCATATTGTATCTCCTGGGTAGCCAAATTGAAGACGGTGACCTTGAGTTCACGGATTACACCAGAGATGATGTAGAGAAGATCGCCCTGCGCCTCACATGAGAAGCTGCCATGGCAATTGTCGTTCTGGCCGGCCATCTCATCGGGAAGCTCCAAAGTCGTCATCCAATCCTTACGAGTGTGGTCGAACTGCCAGATATGGAGGACCGCTGCTGCGTTCGTGGAAGCCTCAGCTTTCATTCTAGTGATGAGAATAAGACGCCTGCCGCACGAGATGAGCTGACAGCGGGCATATGAAGGCAAGAACGGGAGTTGTACACGAGACCAGCTCTTGGATTCCATGTTGAAGGCCCATATTCCGAATTGTGGAGTTCGGTAGCCAGCGGTGCAGTAGACAATACCATTGCAGACGTCAATTGTGGCACTACCAGGAATAATTGCGAGCGGAAGTTGGGAAGAGAGAAACTCCCAAGTGTTACTCAATGAAGAGTACCGATGCAGCGACCACCTGTTACGGTCTTCGAGCTCCGAGCCGGGCTCCTCACAGAGCGCGAACACTTGGTAGCTCTCTCCGCTTGGGTCCACAAGCATTTGCGCCGCAGATGGATGCCCGATAGGCGACAGACGCCTCTCAAATCCCGTGAAGGGATTGGATACCAGCATCCTAACAGGGCGGCCCGCTTCATTCGCCACAGGAGAGCTTACCACGAGTCCGCTCGCAGAGGTTAAGACATCGGAGAACCATGGGTCAGGAATGAAGTAGGGCGACAGCTCGAACCACCTGTTGGCGGCGGGGTTATATGCATTGGAGATGCCGGAGTGTGTGTGCACCAACCATGGCTGCGGGAAAGAGATCGGACTTAAACTCAGAACAAAGCCCTTAACGAAACTCCGACATGCGGAGAGGGAGTAGAATCTTTTGCAGACGCACCTGAAACGGGTGAGAACCGGTAATGGCAACTGTACAAGAACGTGATCGAGGATGTGATCCGGCAACTTTTCCCATAGCGCGGGGTCCATACCAGAGTTTGGAGCAAGCAATCGATCACAGCCAGAAGAGTTCACCTTCAAGATAGATCGATCGTCACAACCTTGAACTTCGTAATCCTACCGCTTAGTTCTCTACCAACGAACCGCCCCCTTCACCCAGAGTCCATCCTCCTCATAGCCTCGAACTCCCCCATCCTCCTTGTCCCAGCCTTCCAATCGACCGTCATAGCGCGCAACCCCTCAAGAATTCTCCTTCATCACACTCAAGAAGCAATTCTCGCACCTACGTTAGCGCTCCGGCTCTCACAACTCTGGATCCCGTTGCGAGCACACTACAGAAGGCTCCACACACATCTAACCTTCCCTACACTCAAATCTCGTCCCAATTTATACTGCACAGGAACACAATTTTCACAAGACAGTGTGACTGCTGTTCGTTCACATCAATCGCATCACATCGATGAGCTGTGGTTCGGAGAGAAGCAGGGGGGTGACATATGTCGCACAAGATTCCCTGTCATTGACTTGGGCTGGCAATTTTTGTCGTTCTATCAACACTTCTTCTCTGTCCAGTCTTTCGGCCCTCGTCATTCTTCATCAAATCACCGAAGCAGTAAAATCATTCCTCATCTTCCTATGGCCCTGGCAGAGACGATAAAAACGAGTGTTCAACTGGTGGAATCGAGTTGCGTGGGATTCCGAGCCCATGCCCCATGCTCCACGCTGTACCACTGTTGACGACGGGTGTATACCGTAAGATCTAAAAAGGCTGTGAAAGCAACCGAATCCAACCGACGATTGATTCAGGGTGGCCATCCCTATTCCATCGCTGCGAACTCCGCTCTGGGCTTCATCAGCACCGGCAATCTGTTCGAATGACGCCTAAAAACAACATGACTCATTCACCAGTTAATGCGGGCAGGTACCCGTAGCCGGAGTGGATCTCAGGAAGGTGGACAGCACCCCCCGATGGATGCATGTGGTTCAGAAAATCTTCTCGTCGATCTCCGTTATCATCCATCAGTCCGCTCGGATTTGGCGGGAAGCGCATTGAAACCGTTGGATTTAAATGAGAGTTGGTTCGCTCAGATGTTTCATCATTGTTATACTTGTTTTGTCTTTTTCACGCTCCTTACGCTTTAAAGCTAAATAAAACGAGCCAGTTATATTGTCAATCAAACTCCATCTGATAATGTTTGGTTCGTACCACGAGATGTGTTTTTGTTGTTCGATTGTTTTTGCTGATTATTATTTACTAATCAATTATGGGTACTTCTAATAATAACAAATCTTCTGTGGTAACTATTTCCTATTCCAATGGTACCAACAAAGTACTGAATGGAATTATTATTAGGTCAGAAGTAGAGGAATATAACTCTTAATATATTGCTCGATGCTCTATAAAAAATTGGAATACAAAATTTGCAACAAGAAGTGCATTTTTCTCATTTATAAATAATAAATTTAAAATTAAACAGGGACCAAGAAAATATTACAATATGCTTGATATGTAAAATATTCTTTACCATGTTAAGTTTATTGTATATTTGAAGATACTAAATTATTACAACAATGTAAGTTCCTTAAAATAACAGTAAAAAAAATAAGAGATTTGGTTGACATCTATGTGATATATTAATGTTGATATTACAATGGTTACTTCAATGATACTTTTTATGTCAATGACTGCATGCCCAAGAAATGATATAAAAGATTTTTGACAAATTTGATATAAGTGTAATAAATCTGAAGAAACTTGCAAAAGACCATAATCTATGCTTGCAAAAGGAAAAATGAAGAAGATAATAATGAATGATTTTATAGAATTAAATAATAAAAGATTCTAACTATAAAATAAATAAATAAATAAATAAATAAATAATGTTTCTAATAAGACATATGTATAGCATGAGTAAGTTTGCTATAAGTTGAAGTTTGCTACATTCTTTAAGATATTAAAGAAAAAACTAATTGATTTAGTTCGAATTAAAATTTTACTACATAAATTTCCTACTAAACTTAGTCTTAATGATAAGTTTTTGATTTTTTTAGATTATAATTTATCTTAATATTTTTATTTTAAATTGCACAAAAAAAATCCTTTGAAATATTTATTTCATGTTTCAATTTAATAATCATATATCATAAGGATACATAAACCCACAAAATCTTTCAATTAACTACATCAAAAAGAATAAAAAATATAGAAATATTTAAAATAAATTTTGTATAAAATTATGAATGTTACCATAATATACATAGGTTTAAATAAATAAATAAATATATATATATATATATATATATATATATATATATATATATTTCTTTTCTTTTCTTGTCTTTTCTATAATATGTTTTAATGATTTTTATAAATTTTATTTTTGAAAATCATAAAATTTTATTAAGTTCATATAACAATATATTACAACTTGAAAAGGTAAAAGTTTTGTGCAAAAAAAATAATTAAAAATATCAGATGTGTTTTAAAATAAGATGGCAAAAAAAAAAAAAAAAAAAAAAAAAAAATCTACAAATTCTTGAAACTAGCCTAAAAGTATATAAGGAATTGACAAGTGTTAGGAAGGCCTTATTCTTGCCTTCATATATACTATCTAACCAAAGAGCTATGCAACAATATTTTACATGTCATTTAATACATGTCCAACTTGCATTACATGTATCTAGCTTGCAAAGCAAGTTTTCAATATGCGCAATGCTATGTTATAATGCAGCTATCAAGTGAAAGAAAAAAGGTATATTATAAACAAGCTTAATTAAAAATAATGTAATAAATTACTTTAGAAATAAATGTAATAATCAAGGAAAGGAAAAATTAATAAGTGATAGTGTTTTCTTTTGTAAAATGGGCTTCTACTTACCTTGAATGGCCATAATTAAGGCAAAATAAAATAGATTAGAAAAATTAATAATAAAACATCTCAAAGAGAAATTTAAGATTATTTTTTAGCAAAAATTATCTTTTAAATTTATAAATTGATACTTAGACCAGTTGTAAACCAAGATTGAAATCAAATTCCAATACACAAAATTGCACACGTACGACAATTCTAAGGTTGTTTTGCTAATTGATAAACAACAATAGAGAGAAACTTTAGAAAAGATGTTGTGGTAATAGTTTCAAGTGATTTTAATGCACACTCAATTTTTGACAATTTTTTAAAGTGAAAGATGTTTTTAGTGATTTTCGATTTTAAAAAATAAAATTAACTTATATATATAAATAATTTATAAGTATTATATTAAATATATAGTTGATTTTTTTTAGAATTTTAAATGTGTATATCTTAAATATATTTTTATACTCTTGAGTCAATTAAATGGTTAGATTGAAAGATATGAAAGTTTAATTGGATTAGAATCTTGAATTTTTAAATTTTAGGATCAAAGAGATTTTCAATGATTCTAAAAAATCTACTAGATTAATTGAAGCAAAATTTTGTGAAGACATAGTAGGCTTGTATCTTTACACATTTTCTAATTTAAAGAGCAATTAAATGATTTAAATCCAAGGTATACCTTACTGCCATCTAAATAGACTAAGATAAAATAAGTTTTATTTCAAGGCTCTATCTAGACCAAACTTATAGGCTAGCATGGCTTTATGAGTTAAAATTAGTTTAAAAAATGATTTAGATAATGTCTTCTATCAAAAAGATGTTAAAAAAAAAAAAACCTTGCATAAAGAATTTATGAGAAAATAAGCAAAAGAAAGAAGCAATTTAAGAAAATAAAGAAGTCTATAAGGTTGTTATTGTCACGGACATATATATTTACCTCAATAGTTACTTATATGATTAAGTAGAAGTAGATAAAATAGAATAATTTCATAAAGTCTTCTAGAAAAGCTTCCTAGAAGCTTTATAGATGCGGTTTTGACTTTAGATGTGTTTGTAGGTTAGAAACTTGGCCAAAAAACTAACCATGTATTGATAGCTTGTGGAATAAGTTATCTCCATGTAGTAGCTTGTGGAACAAGCCAACTAAATGGCGTATACATAGATAACTTGCCTTGCAAGATAAGACATGTGGCTAGCAAAGTCAATACATATTGGAGGTCCTATAGGACATCACCACATGGCTCTTAGTTAGATAGTATATATGGAGGCAAGAATGAAGCCTTCTTCACTCTTGTCAATGCCTTTCTAGTCTTAGTCTTGTTTCAAGACTTTTTAGTCTTCTTGTTTTTGGCAATAGCCATTCTAGTTAATATTATATCACCTTTTGAGTAACTTTCTAGTTCTCTTTAGTGATAAAAGAGTGTATTGAGGATTCTCTTTCTTTGAGATTCATGTCCTTGACAGTTATAGAATGCAAACTCCAATAGAGCCTTCTTATGGCTTTCTTCTTTTTATTTTTTAATCATTAGATTTTTCTTTAATCATTAGATTTTTTATGTCTAAACTTTTATTATGGCATATTTTATTATCACAATCTTTATAGACTAATTCAACTTTACAAATAGACACTTAAGAAGAATCAAGAAACAAATAAAAAACTATTGAAGGATTTGGATTTGATAAGTTAATAGACTATACAAGATATCATGTATATTTTTTTCAAAAAGCTTTTAAGAAATTATCAAAAAAAATAGAGGTTTTATTGCAAAGAACCAAGCCAACAAAAAATTAAATTTCATGGAGAGACAATTACAAGCATGCACCAAAATTATCAACAAAAATCTAATGCACCATCAAGAAATAATTAAGTTAGTAGCAATAGTTGAGATATTTGGCATTTGAGGTATTGAGGTGGCAAGCTAAAAGGATAAAACTAAGGATTTTGAAATAGTATAACATATTTTAAATAAAAAGTTTAATAAAGTATTAATGGCAAAATTAGAAAGGAAAATGGAACAAAGTAGCATATATTAGAAATATTGGTGTCATATAGTAATATGACTATTAGATGAAAGAAGAAAGGAAATATTTAATTATGAAGGAGCTTAAATGAAATTATTTTAGCAAATTTTCTTTAAAATAAAGATAATAGACAAGGAGGTAATAAAAACTAACAAGTTCTAATACTATCTTCTTATAGAAGAGACTTCTACATATTTTATAGGAATATAAATGAACCAAATAAAAATAAATAAAATAAATAATTAATATAATCATGTTTAAGAAGAAATTAAAAATAAAATTTAGTAAAAATTACTTCAAAATATTAAGAATTGATACCTAAAGAGGACTAATTATGAAATAAAGTTGAAATTAGACTCTGAGGTATAAAATTTTGCATCTATACTAATTCAAAGATTCTTTGGTTCATTAAAGAGTAGGATTTAAGAATAGACTTAAGATAAGATTTTTGAGAGTTAATTTTATGTGATTTAAAAGCTTATTAAGGTTTTGAGGGCTTTTTAAAGAGAGAGATGTATTCTAAGGACGTAAATGGTGAAGAAATAAAAAGGAGTTCACAAATTTGACAATTTTTTAAATATCGTAGAATATTTATGGGTAAAATTTTATCAATCTTTAGATATATTTGTCTTACATGTATTTTAATAAATTTTATATTAATCAAACTATTAAATTGACTATTATAAAAGTTTTTGTGGATTATGGTCTTAGATAATTGAAATCTAGGATAATTGAGGATTTTTGCAATCTCTCAATATTTTCCAATTTGATTGAAGAAAAAAAATTTAAGAACAATTTTATCAATTTTTGAAGTAATTAAATAATTTAACAAGAATTGAATTCATTATAGACATATCAATATTTGAATTAGAGAAGGACGGTAGCTATTAAGGACATGAATCTCGAAGAAAGAAATCTTTAATACACTCTTATGTCACTCAAAAGAACTAGAAAGTCACTTAAAGATGATATGGTATTAAACTAGAATGACTTTTGCCAAAGACAAGAAGAATAA